TTTTTTCAATACATGGGATGGGAACAGATTGTAAGTAATGCCGTATATCTGCCTGCCCTTGAATCATTCTCCGAGAACCAGCTAGGCAATATTTTTTTCTCTTATTGAGTGACATATTGAGGTTATTCGACAAAACTCGCAGAAATGTTCCCAGTGGCTTGTTACCCAGGAAGGGGGCGGGCGAGAAATTCATGTTGCATGTTACGTAAAAAAAATCAGAAACTGTGATGACCAATCCATGCACGAGCTCAGCGGAAAAAAATAATGTCCGACTTGACTTGAAAAATTAAGGCATATAATCGTGTCATATTAGCTCGAGTACGTGTCAAGAATCCTCCCCTTTTCCCTCCGACTTTCTTTTGAGGGTTGCTTTTCATTATTAAAGGCAATAAGAAAGGGGGTATTCCTCTCCGCATGCGCGCCAGGTTTGGAAGCCCTCCCGCATGTGTAATGGCGAGAATGTGGGGTAAGATGAATAGATGAAAGGAATGGTGGGACGTGGATGCGGACGCTGGTTGATGCAAGTCTGTGTATGTGCAAAAGGGGGGATAAAAAGCAATACAGAAAGAGGGAGGCATGGATGGATCTGAGGAGAGTGGAAGAGCGAGAGGGAGAGAGAGAACGTCTGTGTATATGCAAGGAGGGATGAAAGCAATAGAGGAAGAGGGATGGATGCATGGATGTATGGACGGATCAGAAAGAGAGTGGGAAAGAGAGAGATAGATTAGAAAGAAAGAAACAAGTCTGGTGGTATCGCTTGCGCATGACCCGCGGGCCAGCGAAGATGCCAGCGCGCGATAAGCGGACAGCAGGCTTTTTCTACTCCCCCCCCCCCTCCGTCCACCTCTTATGTGTTCGGACCGGATGCCTGCTAGCTTGCTTTGCTTTGGCTGGCTGGGTGGGCTTGAGGGAATGCAAATGCCATGGGGACACGTCTTCGGGTGTCCTCACTGGACTGACTGGCTGGCTGGCTGGGTTTCATCACGTGCTTGAGCCCGAACCATGTACCTACGTGTACCTGTACCATTTTCTCTAGCGACCGCCGAACTGGGCGCGCGAGTAACCAGAGGAAAACCGACCACCGCCCAACTGAGCGTCGCTGAATGAGAAGAGTCCTTTCAATTCTATTAAAATGTACTGTATTTATTTACTCACTGAGCCCCACAATGCAAATCATGGATATTACGGTACAGCTTGAACCTCGATAACTCAAATGCTCCACGATTTCAATTTTGCGAAGGCTTTGTCGGAATTCTCGTAAAAATAATAATGAATTATAACCCAGTCGAACTAAAAAGGCTTCTCCCTCAAACCTCAATATCTAGAATTTTTTGAAGTCCTTTTGGTTACTGTATTTTATTGACACAGGAAAGAGGAAATCACTAAGAAATGCCACTTGGCGCGTTTTGAAAGCAAGCATCGGGAAAATTAACCCTTGCCTCCAAGTTCATCATCCTAATTCATCCGAAAAAGCAATTTAAGGCCCAGAACTTCACCAATTACAATTTCCCGTGAACCTTATTTATCTTTCCCTAACAGAAATGCTAGTTTTTCTAACTGGAAACCTCTCTAATTTGCTTCTCTTGCTGTTCCTTTGAAGTTCGATTCAGAGAGGCTCGACATATTTGTGCGTGGCAATGATATCTGTTCATCGGTTAATGCGTGCTAAAATAGTTCTCAATCCCATTTATGGCGACTATTGCGAAATTTGAAGCGAAAGCTAACTCGGTTCCGGTTTTGAACCGTTATATATATTTTTCTCTTAGACGTGATTTTAGAACTTTTCATGCGTTATGCATCATAAAAAAAAACAAGTAGCGCATTGAACTGCCGCTGTTTTGAGTGGCGCTCAGTTGACCCAGCACCCATTCTACCAAAACAGCGCTGTATTTTGATGGTCATGAAATGCTTCTTTTCCGCGTTTTTTCAATAAAGCTTGTGATGCGAAGCCGAGGGTTTCGGCAATCGTTATGTTGTACGTCAAGAACTCATTTCAGAAAGAATTGCTTCTGGGCAAAAGTAAACCGCAGATCGTAAAAAAGGGATGCTATTTTAGTATTTTTAAAACCTCTCGGTTCTACGTAAAAACGTTTACGCTTCTTGAGAAGGTAAAAGGTCGACTGAAGAATCCTGAACAAGGGGAACTGCGGTGCATTTATTGATTTGATGTTTACCTTCGTTGAGCCATTTTAATGTTGAAATTTTGCGGAAACTTCCAACGGTAAAAGGGACTTTCAACCGATTCCACTGTTGGAAGTCCTTTTTGTCCAACGGAAATGACGTATTGACTTGGAAAATGAATGCGGATTTTTCTCTTAATGTGTGGTCCTGTCCCGAATTTTCTTTTGATGAAATTTGTGCTGCTTCACAACGAAATCCATCGTATAACGCTTTATTTATAGATTTTCCGAGTACAGTATTGCTGTAAAGATCTCTGCATGTATTGTGTGCTCGAACATTGAAATCATGTTTGCCTCTTCTTTTTTTTCTGCTGCGACATGGATTATTCCAGGATTTGAAACTCAAGGGAAAGGTGAGCTCGCATGCGATTCATTGCCTCATGTTCGTTTTTCAAGTACAGTGGAGTACTCTTGGTTTTACTCTAACCAGAGATCTTGAATACTTTTCTCGTTGAATTTTTGAGAAAGTTTGTAAACTGTGTACAACATCTCACGATGAAGCCATCCTGTGCTTGTGAAGTGTAACTTCAAGAAAATGACGTGAACCTTCTGAGCAAGTTTGAAGTCTCGCTGCAAGACTCGGGACGCGTGCACTTTTTTGTGTTTTTTTCGATCAATAGGGTATGTAATTTTGTTGCTGTTGAACTTGCGAGGAAGTTTTGACCTTCATCGACGAACTTCCCGTGACCTCTTTTTTTTGGATCGTGAAGTTGAAGATTTACAGTGTGTTTTGTTTTGTTTCGGAATCGTGGACAGACTCGGCCTTTTACGTCAGAGCGTTGCTTGATCTTGAAATACAGAACATAAAAAGCGAACCTCTGGTAAGATGTTAGCAATTCTTTTTATTGGAAAAATAAACGACCAAATTTGAGTTTGAGAAACGAGCATTTTTTGCGGGAGAGAGAAGAACAACTGCAGAACATTTTGATGGTGATATTCAAGGCATTGAGTTACTTTTTAAATGAGTTGACAGGATGCTAAACTGGGATACATGGATTGGGCGAATGTTCATTCGCCCAATTCGTCTTTCACTTTCTTTCAAAACACATACAGATAACATTTTTATCGCTTTTCTCTTTCCTGGATCAATAATAGCTAAAAAGCCTCCAAAAATTCGAGTTATGGGGGTTTGAGGTGGAAAGCCTTCGAGTTAGTTAGGTTTTAAATACATTGCTTTTTAGGGAATTCAGACTGGGGCTTGAAAAAAACAGACTTAGGGAAGTTCGAGTTATTGAGTTTTAATTGCACTGTATTAGAGTACTGAATGTAATTTCGCGTGTACCGAATTGCGAAGCATCGACCTCGAGAAATAAAATATTGTGCAATTGTTTTCGAAAATGTATGAGGTTGACGATTTCGTTGATCTTCCGAGATTTTGATAATCGCTTCTCAGAAGTGAGGATTTTTCAACTTTTACTGCACGGGTTACCTGAATAAGGTCTGAACTTAATTTTAGCCTACAGTACTTGTTATTTATGAAGAAGTACGACAATCCAAACGAAACCGCTTTATTGAACGTCATTCCGTGGAAATACAGCTATTTTTTAAGACTCTGAACTCGAATGAGGAAACGACTGACGGCCCTCTCAAAGCGCACTTTTATTTCAAATTCCAGAAATTGTCATCTCGGTTAATGAGGGTTCAAAAGCAGGAGAATGCAAAAGGCTGATCGATGAACCCGAAGATCAAAGCCTTTTAACCATACATGGAACCTGTTCATTGAGCGTCTATCGCAGAAGCTAGAGTACAGTTTAAGTTCGATGCCGTTTCCGATATCCATATTTAGACAACAGTGATCAATCATTGAAATATTTTGAAGGGTAGGTAGAATGGAAAGTTGGATGGGTGATGTTGCGGAAGAATCGATTGACGCGTTTCTACGGATTGGCTCTGGGTAAATGTCAGTACAGTACAACCACCAGATTGCATGGATGGAGTTGATCTTGAAAATTTTAAATCGCTGGGGATAATGAACATAAAGTGTGAGGAAATGAAACCTCGAGTATTTCAACGCTAAACGTCTCGAATTTACATGATTTTTTTGGCTTTTGCATTCGTGTCGAATGGGATCTTGCCATGTTTTATGATTTGGAATGATTTTTATGATTTTGTGGGTCTGTTGAGCTTTTACTGGATTTTGGTCAGAAACTAAGCTTGAGTGAGTCATTTTGGCTGCATTGCAAATGAATCGAAGAATTTTTCGAAGCAAGGCCTGATTTTTCTTTGTTCTCCGGAATCTCTATCGTCCATATGTCACTTGAAGTTTCCCCAAAAAATTCTGACCAAACTAAAACTGAGTAACTTCACGTATCTGGACCAGAAGAAACGCATAGCGAAAAAATGGAATTTTTATTTTGTCACCATTATCTAACATGTGGAAAAGATAATTGGTAAAACAAAATAAAATTTCAATTTTTAGCTGGCCTGGCAAATTTATAGCCCCCTGTGACATGGGTGCAGAACTCGGGCTCTAACTGGAAAGTTTCCTATTATCATGCAGTAAATTAAAAGAAAGTTTTTGAAAAATCGACGAAAAAAATCCCAGAACATCTGAACATTATGGACTTCGTCATCTTGTTTTAAAATCGTACTCTTGAAAATATCAGAGGTCGCGTCCAATTGGGACAACCCTCCTACAATCTCAAGAAAATTGACTTCACCTGACGAAACGCTACCTATCTTAATACTGCATTAGCATAATTTTGTGAAATCTGATTGAACATGGAAGAAAAAGAAGTGAATTAATTAAATGAAGTGCTGTACTCAATTTTTTAGGGAAGAAAGAAAGAAAAAAAAAAGGAATCGAAAAAGGGGGCATAAATGGCTGAAAACGACTCGCAGCACGTGTCTGGTGGGTATGAGATTGGGGTCTGGAATGAGGACTGCGGGCGGGTGCACACGATCCTTTTAATGTTGTGCGATCGCAAGTGACCGAGTCGGAAGCGGGGCGATCCATCTCACTTCCTCCGACTGCCGCCCCGGTTATCACGGGGCTACAGAAAAACCCGGGGATTCCTCCGGGGTTCTCTAACCCTGGATTTATGGCCCGCCCGCCCTGCCGATTTTTTCATTTTTTTTTTCTCTTGCGTGGGCCCCTTGTCTGCCTTCACGTTCGTGAAATACGCACCGTTTTCGGAATAAACCCGTTGGGTACGTGCGAATAAAAAATGTCCTTCCCCCCCGTCTTGGAAGGATGCTTCCGTTTGGGGAGGAAATTTATGTGAGGAACGGTATTTCTTATTTTGAAAGTATCCGTTCGATCGGGAACTCGGGTGGCAATTTATTCAAATAGATCTAGGTTATAGCATCGGTCTTTTTCCGTTGCTATTTTCTTGACATGAAGTCTGCTCAGATTTTACAGAAATGTAGTGTCCGTCTCGGGCATTTTTATTATTTTGAGATTAGTGCAGCAGCAACAAGTATTGATCCCTCGTAAAACGGTACCTGAATTGCCGCAAATTCCTGGGAGCCGCCCATAAACCAGCTTCCGTTAATCCGGCCCTTGGCGAAGTTTAACGTGGTGCACTTTTAGTGTTGGGACAAAAGCATAAAGCTTTTAACACACCTGCGCCTGTTTTTAGAATGGCTGTTTTTTTTTATTTGTTGAATGACAAAGACTTACTTTTTCTGTCCGCCAAGCAAAGAAAAAAATATTCTTTTCCGAGAAATCTAAGATGCTCTGGTCACTGGCATTTTAATGCAGAAGTAACTGCATTGTCCGGAGTGGCCTATAGGACATGTATTCGTTTTTAGAAGACCATTTCTTCTTGAACACGAAGGAATTCGATGGTTTACTGAACATCAGAACCCAATTCAATGTTGTTATTGTTGAAATCAGCATTTTAAGCTGAATATTACTTTCCGGATCATTTCTTGACAGAAACAGTTCAAATTTCTAGATTGTTCTGAAAAATTTTAACGTGAACTTCACAGCTTTATGTAATTTACTATAACGATTTTCTCTGTTCATCGAATTTTTGTATTGGCTCTTTGGGGTTCTGTCCCTATATTACAGGGGTTCGCTGCAACGAAATTTTTCTATACCGAGTTTTTTCTTGCCACCTTACATTTTGTCCACCTGTAGATTCGCGATGGCAAAAAGTGGAGGAAATTAATTCGAGAGAAATGCAGAAGTTGATTTGAATCCATGTTCACCACTCCAAAATCTAGCACAAATGCGATTCAAAGGTTCATTTTACTCGGTACACGAAAATCACTTCAATTAAATTACAGGCACATTTGTATTGCTCGCAAATTGTTATGGTCAGATTCAAAAAATTGAATTATGCGAATCCAAGTTTTGTGTGTGACGCATGCTGATCTGGAAGCCAAAATTTAAAATCAAGAACGGAAAAAAGCCTGCTATATGTGTTCTTGGTTATTGTTTTTTTTCATATATACAATACAATGAAAAGGAATGTTTTGCGTCTTGGATTCGACATTGATGAGAGTCCTCCTTTTTTAAAACATTGGATTCGTTTTCCCGTTTCCGTTTTTAGTTTGTCCACCGGGCCGGTACCAGCCGGAAGTCGGCGGTCCCCTGGGCTGTCGGCCGTGTCCACCGCACTCGTCAGCACCGACGTCGGGCCTGTCGTCGTGTCGCTGCGACGCCGGCTACTACCGATCCGCGACGGACCCGAACTGGAGTCCGTGTAGTCGTCCGCCGTCGGCGCCACTCAACCTCAGCGTGAGTTTCGTGGACCAGGCGGCAGTGGCACTCGAGTGGCACGCACCGATCGACGCTGGCGGTCGTCAGGACTTGGGCTACCGTGTCGAGTGCGACGTGTGTCTGAGCAGTGCCACGTATCGACCGCCGGGCTTTGCGGATGGCGGCATCGGGAATGAGACTCGTGTCACTATTGCCGGACTCAGACCCGTCACCAAATACCGGTTTCGAGTCTACGCTGTCAACGGGGTCTCTGAGTTCCTGGCTGACGATCGACAGCAGTTCCTTGACATCACCGTCACGACCGAAGCTGCAGGTGAGAAAATTAAGGGAATGGGGCGAGGGTAGGAGTTTAGTAGGCACCTAGATGCATGATGGGAAAATAGTAGCGGAGGACATTTGCTGCCTTGGACATAGATGTCGCGCAAATGACTTCGTAAACGCTTTTTTCTGCGTGACTGCGTGAGGCAATATTTTCATTATGTGAAAATTTCTTTGAGAACGGAAGGTGGAAACCGAATTACTTGTAGTCATTTCATTTACGAAGGATGACTTTTTTCTTGTTGTTTTGTTCATTTTGAATTCAGCAAGAATTTACTGTCAAAACGAGAAGTAAGGAAGACAGGAGGCCAAGAAGAATTTCCTGTCGCCGCAATTTCTTGCTTATGATCAAACAGAAAAGCTATGTTATAGAAATTCTTGCAAAGTCAAAAAATGGATTCTGTTCATCATAATCGTGTATTTACTCCTGCACCTCACGCATGAGGGGTTCTCGCTGCTGCATGAAAAAAAAAAAAAAAACTCTTCACAAGTTCCAGACACCCTTTCGCAGAGATTTCATGCATATTCAATTCATTCTTCTCCAGTTCCGTCGATGGTTTCGAATGTGCACGTGGCAGAAGTGAAGCCCAGTCAGATGGTACTTGCTTGGGACCCGCCACGAGACCAGTTCGGTCAGAACGTGGAGACGTACGAAGTGCGGTACTTTCCGCGTGGAGAAGAACGGGACTACGTGAGTCAGACGACGAAGCGTCAACAATTGACTGTGCTGAAACTGCAGCAGCAGACTGAGTATGGGTTCCAGGTCAGGGCCAAGACCCCACACGGATGGGGCGAGTTCAGTCCCACGGTCTACCGAAGCACCGGGCAAATATTCGGTGAGTTTCTATTTCATTTTGAATTTCTTTAAATTACGGTTCACGATGATACCCGTTGAACGAACGTATTAAATCTACAGTCGCACGTGAATTTTACGAATAATAATACTGCCAACACCTTGATGTAGTGCCACAAATTTTTCTGAACAGAAAATCTCCCTCTGTTGCATTCTTAAGGGAAACTCTGATTTACTGCCAATTAAAATACTTATCCCTGATAAAGATGGACGAAAATTAAAAAGAAAGCAGGGATTTTTTTTCTAGGGATAAAATTAGACTACAGTATTACTGAAAAGCACGTGGACATGCACAGGATAATATCGGAAATTATATTTCTGTAGTTACATTTCTTCGGGAGACATTATTTGGACGCTCTTCGTCCACAGTGAAGAGCGTCTACATGACTCGGACAGCCTCTTCGAAAAATTAATATTTTAAAAAGTTATCTTGGATTGGCGTGCTTTCGTTCAGAGGTTGATGCAAAATTTTAAAAAGTAGCACGTCTCCTTCAACGTACAAGCATCTGTAATATACTGTATTATTATCTGAATTGAAGTAAATTATACAGTTAATTTAAGCTGTACAATATTTTTTGAAGTTTTTTCTCTTATTAAAGAGACGCAATAGCCTAACAGTTCTGCAGACCAGCTCATTTTCCCTGTATTAGAACCCCCGTAAACTGAACCTTGCTTTTTTACAGTGCAGTACCTCTGTTCAGTACCATGATATGTGTCAGGATAAATTATTTCACTAAATTGAGGTTTGCATGTTTTCACGATGGAAACCTTCGAAAAATTCTGTTTTGAGCGAAAGATTGGAAAATGACGAAAGAGAACAAAATATTTAGGAATTTCGTAAGTATGTCTTAATATTTTATAGGGCCTGTAAATAATTTTTAATGCGTAGTAATTTTTCGAATCCCGATACTCTATTTCCCTAATCTCTGCTACGTTTCGTTCATCACTTTTGCGAAATGCTGCGTTGGTTTAGAAAGAAAAAAGAAACATACATTAGTCTGTACTATTTATTAATATTGATTATGACTAAATGCTTCATTTGCAGTTTATGTCGGGGAAAAAGAAGGAACTGGAAGCAGGATAGTGATCGGGACTTTGGCAGCAGCGAGTGTAGTCGTGTTCCTGGTGGCAGTGATCTTGTTGGTACTTCGCTACCGTCGGAGATCCCGGAGTGCGGAGTGTGGTAAAGAAAAACAGCCTGGCAATGGAGAAACACTCGAATACCGCAGCAATGAAGGTGATTTTCCTCAAATTTTTCTTTTCTTTTTAATCCTGTTTCAGGTACGATTATTCCTGAAACGATCTTCTTCTGTTGAGTAACGTTATTATTTTATCGAAAAAAAACTAAGATTAATCAACGTATGTTAATTTTATTCTGGTTCTTCAAATATTTCTTATTGCGGGCCATCTGGAAGGTCACTTGGTCACTTACCACAAGTTGTATGCCAATGGAACGTTGGGGAAAAGTGAGTTTTCGTCAAGTGCACGGCATCTGATTAGACGACTTATTTGTTTTAGAATCTTAGTGCACCGTTACTGCTTTTTCTGTCCACGTTTTTATTTTGCGTATCTTATGCATGGTTGTTTTCTTTTGTTTTGCGCACATATAGTGGTTTGTCAACAAGAAAATCCCCAGATCATCACGACGCACACGTCCAACAGTGAGTCCTTGTTGCTTTTTTCAGTTTTAGTGCACGGTAGATCTTCATTTTTTATTTATGCTAGTCGTGGTTGAATTCGGAAATTGTGAATTATGCGAGGAAAAATTTATTCATTTGTTTGGATTGTGCTTTTAGTGACGACGCCGTTGTTTACGCAAGTTGGGCCGCCGAGGACGTACGTGGATCCGCATAATTATGAGGATCCTCATCAGGCGGTGAAGGATTTTGCCAGAGAAATCGATGCTTCTTGCATAACTATTGAGGCCATAATTGGCGGCGGTAAGCTTTGTTTTTGTTTCGTTCTTTCCGATGACGAATTCTTGACTCGATGTCTTCATTTTTTTGTTTTTTGAAAATTGACAAATAGGTGAATTCGGAGACGTGTGCAAAGGAAAGCTCAAGTATCCGGGTCGTCCGGAGATTTGCGTGGCCATCAAAACTCTCAAGTCCGGCTCTTCGGACAAGGCGAAGAAAGATTTTCTCACAGAAGCCAGCATCATGGGCCAGTTTGAGCACTCGAACGTGATTTACCTGCAGGGTGTGGTCACCAAGTCCAATCCTATCATGATCATCACCGAGTTCATGGAAAATGGATCCTTGGACACTTTCCTGAGGGTTCGTATTCTGCGGGATATATGTTCATTTTTCTGATTCATTAGCATTGCACAAATTAGTTTTTCTTAGAGAAGTTCGTGCTCTAAGAGAAGCTTGTAATCCTCTTGTTTTCTGCATTGTCCATTACTTAAAAAAATAGTTCAGTACTATTTTGTGTAAAATCTCCAGATGCTATTGGTAGTCGTAATGTTATTTCAAGTTTACTCCTTGTCATCGGTAGTTCAACTTAGCCACTAATTTCATTTGAGCGTTGCGACAGCTGGAAAATAAGTGAAGGGGTTCGCGTGTAGAAGTTTTGTTGAATAACGAGAACTTTTTTTTTCATGTTGAAGCAAGCATTTGTAAACCATATGATTGCAGAGTTCTTGTACGTGGATTTTGTCAATTTGAAACGCGCTAATTATTTTTTCAGTTTCAGTCGTTTAAAATAGATGCATTGATATTTCTTCAGTCTCGAGTAGCGGTTGGCGTTCAATAACGAAATTGAAAAATGTTATTCAAACGTAATTGTGATTGACTTGCATGGTACTTTTTGAAATCCTTGCGGATTTCATGAACGAATTTTGTAAATTCCAGGCGAACGATGGGAAGTTCCTCGTGATTCAGTTGGTTGCCATGCTGAAGGGGATCGCGTCCGGGATGCAGTACCTGTCGGAAATGGGCTACGTGCACCGAGACCTTGCAGCCCGGAACGTGCTCGTGAATGCACAGCTCGTATGCAAAATTGCCGACTTCGGTCTCAGTCGCGAAATTGAAAGCACTACCGAAGGCGCCTACACCACGCGGGTAAGCGCAATAAAATAAATCGTTGACATTTCTGCGTATGATTGACTCGAATACTGGACATATGACTTTCAGCAAAGAGAGCGTGATCAGCATTTCAAAAATAGGCATTCTTTCGAAACTTATGGGCAAATTTGTAAATGCAAATCTTGACACCAAAAGTAAGAGTGCATCTTAGCGAATCTCAGACTTTTAAAATAGTTCTTGTTTCACTATGTACTCAGAATACGGTACTTCATCTGAAGAAGTGTAATGATGGTGATAAAGAGTGCGATAATCGGCATAGTTTCATTCGGACGATTTTTGAGTTATATTTCGGTTCATAATTGACTCGAATTTGTACCGAACTTTTGTAATGATTTCAGCAGAGAGAGCGTGATCAGCATTTCAAAAATACATTCTTTCAAAATTCCTTCGAAAATCTGTAAATAAAAGTCCAACACCAAGAATAAGACTTAGTAGAGAAGATGAAAAATGTGCATCTTGAAATAACTCACGCTTTTAAACGAATTTCTGCTTCACCGTTGACCTCCTCCGGAAGAAGGGTAATGATTTCAGTATATAAAGGATTGGGATAATCGGACGATTTTTAAGTGAAATGTTGTGGAATGATTTCAGGGCGGAAAGATTCCGGTTCGGTGGACTGCGCCGGAAGCCATAGCATTCCGGAAGTTCACGTGGGCCTCGGACGTATGGAGCTACGGGATCGTGATGTGGGAAGTGATGAGCTTCGGTGAGCGGCCGTACTGGACCTGGTCGAACCAGGACGTGATCAAGTCCATCGAACGCGGCTACCGACTCCCGCCGCCGATGGACTGCCCCGAGGCCATTTACCAGCTTATGCTGGACTGCTGGCAAAAGGACCGATCCAATCGGCCGTCTTTTGCCTCCATCGTGCAAACGTTAGACGGACTCCTGCTCTGCTCCGAGTCTCTGCGCAAACTTTCTCAGACCAGGTACTGAAAATAAATTCCAATCGTGACTGAAAAAATTCGTGGTGAAGTCGAACCTCTTTGAGTCAAACTTCGAGGTTCAAAAGAAACAGCGGGGAAAAAAATTTGAGTTAGGGAAGTTTTGAGTTGGAGAAAACGCACATTTTTTTGGGGGAAGGGAAAATGAATTGCAAGAAATTGTAATTGGTGATATTTTGGGTATTAAATTGCTTCATAGATAAGTTTACAGGATGAACTTAGAGTGAAGGGTTAATTTGCTGGATTATTCTTTCACTTCTTTTCAAATCGCAGAAAGTATAATTTTTATTGCTCTTTCTTTCCTTTGTCGATGAAATAACAGAGAAAAGACACCCAGAAAATTCGATTTCTGGTCGTTCGAAGCGGAAAGCTTCTGAGTTGGGAATTTTTTAAATGAATTGTTTCCAAGGGAATTGTATTTTTTAAATGAATTGTTTCCAAGGGAATTGTATTTTTAAATAAATTGTTTCCAAGGGAATTCAGACAGGGATTGTAAGAAGAGAGCCCAGTTCGTTGGTTCTATCTTTCTCCTTCGACAAAAAAGGATTATTCATTTATCAGACCTCACCTGTTCGACATTCGAAGACCGAATCTCATGAATTTAGAGGCCTTGCCTTTCCGGTGTTCACGAGAGAATGTCCGGCAGATGTCGCTGGAATCATTAAATTTTGACCGAGCCAATCCGACTTAACTTACTTCAAATTTATACGAAAGAGAAATCCTATTTTACTGTAATTGTAATATTTTGAGACTTTCAAGTTGAAAGATCCTCCCAAAGCTGCGAAATTTATCACCGTAAATCGTGAGAACGAAGAGTTTGATTGATGATTGGTATTCGCAGACCACATCAGAACCCGCTGGCACCGGACGTGCCCGACATGACAAAGTTCTCTTGCGTGGAGGAATGGCTGGCGTCGATCCGAATGAGTCGGTACCTGGAGAACTTCGAGCGTGCCGGCGTGACGAGCATGGAGGCTGTGATGCGGCTGTCGCCGCAGGACCTGGCAGTCGTCGGAGTCGCCCTTGTCGGCCACCAGAAGAAGATACTCAACAGTGTCCAGACCATGCGAGCCCAGGTCTCCATCAACGTCTCGGACGGTTTTCTTGTCTAAGAAAACCCCCTTTTTTGGGTTGTTCGTTTTTTTGTTCCTTTTTTTTTTTTAAAGATGTCACTTGGTCTGATTCGACTCGCCGACTCTTCGTGAATGCTGTACTCAGCCGTGTTCCTCAACCTTTTGGACAGTTGGACTGGCAAATTTCCATAAAATGTTTCGCGGACCAGCGGAAATTTTGAAATACCTGCCATAAATCTCTCCAAAAATAAAATTATTGCCAAAATAAAGTTTAGAAGCCATGAAGCAGCTGCAGTGGAATGTCTTGAGAAAAAAAATAGAAAGCTGAGCTTCAAGACAAGATTGTGTCCGACTGAATGCTAGATTTGATTTGTTTTAGCGCATGAAAATTTGTCTGAAGTGTTATTTCGAGAAAAGTCAATTTAAAAGAAAAAATCAGATTGTTTCAACTGCTATTGTCTCCAAATTTTCAGATAAAGATAACAGACTTCATTAATAACTTGTGATAAATTTTTTATGCTGAAGAAAATTTCCAGCGAACTAGCGCTGGTCCGCGGACCAAGAGTTGCAGATCACTGCTCTACTGAGTTCGCGTTTCAGATGGCGGCGCGATTTGCTTTGCTTTGATTTTTTGTTTTTGTTTCTGTGGAGCCATTTTTGGGAATCCCAGGTTATTTTGTTCTTGGCCCCTCCCGCCGTGATATGTTACCCCCGATTTGTCCGCCACCACGACATTTTTAAAATTCAGACCTTTGGAAGTATATCTCGAACGACTCGACGTTCATGTTTCTGAACATGATTTCCGAACGCGGAGGACGTGAGTTCCGCGATTGTATTGCAATACAGATTTTTATTTTTTGCCAATTCATAAAAAACTAGCGACCAGGAATCAAAAGTTGACGAGAGCAAAAAAAAAAAAGTTTTTTGGAGTTTTCCTCTCTTCGACGCAAGGTGGACGTCAGTTGAACATTCCGAAATTTTTCTCGATCCCTTTCGTTTGCATATCATCGGTTTTTTTTTCTCCGTCACATGTTACGATGGACAGGAGGGAAGGGAGACGAGGGAGGGCGTGCGAGAGATGCTAGTCAAAAAGGGATTTTTATTTCTTAATTTATGAATGCGAGGAGGTTTTTTCCAAAGTTTCCGTCAAAAGAAAATACGGAATTGTGATAGGCTTTGACTGTCGTTTGTAACGTTTTGTTCTCCCTATTTGAAAACGTGCTGCTTCTTGTCTGGAATTGAGTGAAGCGAAATTTCTTTTTCGGGGTTGTATTGTGTTGTGGAAATGAGTTGAATGATTTGTTAGGAAGTGAACCTTTTTCGGGCTGTATAGTGTTGTGGAAATGAGTTGAATGATTTGATAGGAAAGAATTACAATCGACAATTGAACCGATGTCGAAATTTTTTCATTCACGCTCCGAAAAATGGATATTCCTTTGGCCCTCATTGTATCTTCTTCACGGGAATTGATGAATTCTTGTCATGAGAGAAGCTGATCTTGATAACTTCGTGCTGAACTGGAAGAAAACCTTTCTGTTCCTTGGATTCACCACATTTTATAGCTATGGTATGTTAATGCCAAAAGATGAAATTCTGTGCAGTTTTCTTGGGCAGTTACAGTATTTTCTGTATCTTCAAGTTCAGAGACAATTTTTATTGAAGTTTTTGGGGGCTTCATTCTTGATGTTTGATGAGCAGGAGAACTAATTAAATATGCTCTTATTGAAGTCTATGGGAAAAGGTGACCTGACATTTGGACAAACTGGCATATAGGGACAAGATCCCAGCACCATTAATGTCCTCATCTTGGGGCCTCCCTTCTCCCAAGGATAAATTCTACCAATGCTAAAATCTATCTTTGTTTTTCAAATACAGTACAGTGAGACCCCCATATGCAGATGTAATTGCTGCATCAAGAGTTTCCCCAAGTTGAGTCTCATTTTCCCATAGACTTACAAAATATACTTTTCAATTTGTGTTTTATGGAAGAAATATTCTTCAGAATACCATGAAAAAAATACTTTCCCATAAAATTTGCTTCAGTGAATATCTTTTCAACTCAATACAAACATTTGGAGAATTGAATAGTGTACCTCTGTACAGTACAGTACATTAAAATGCAGTATTGGCATCTGTAAAAATAACATTCAAGTCTCAAAGAGAGAAGGAAGTCCCTCTATGCTAAAGATAATTTTTAAATCAGCTGAATGGATGGGAGAAATACCAAAGAATTTGTTTGCATAGATCTTCATTAGGGTTGGGAATATCTGTTGCATGCAATTAAGACTAATACAAGTCAAATTTTCTGAAATTTACTGTCAATTTGATCATGCAATGTCTGCATGTTGAGTCAGTGTCCATATGTTGGGGCCTCTTTTATGCCTTTTTTATTGAAAAATAAATGTCCCTATGTCAAATTTTATGTCAAGGTGTCCCCATGTGGGGGTCTCACTGCCATGCGCTGATAATTGAAACTGAGCATTACAACTGCAAAAAATACCTCTGGGTAGTTTGTGGCACCACATTTCAGCATTCAGAAGTGAGAACCCATGAATCTTGACCCTGAAGAAGCACGCACAGAAGATTATACGCAAAGGCCAGGAAATGAAAGACAGAAAACAGGCAAAACTTCTCTTTCTCTCTGGTCGCCATTTCTTCAACTCTGACAACTGGGAATAAATAAACCGATGGGATGAACCAACGTGTTCTCTCGAGCATTCATTGAAATATTCTTCCTGCTGCATGAGAGGCCGCATAAAAAATACACAAGAACATTTCTTGCTTAAAGCTTAGAGGATATATGAAGGAGACATGCACAAACAAAGGCTGACGATGAGCAGGAAAATTATGGAATCGCGCGGAATCTCTTCAAAGAGAATAGAGAGCGTGTATATGTGTGTATATATACGTTTGAAAACGAGAGACTGTGAAACTTGGCTTTCTGGAAGCGACGGAAAAAATAGGATATAATTAGAACGCTGGTTTGGGTCCAACGAGAGGTTTTGCGGGCTGCAGTGGGTGCTTTGGCACACGACCTCCGCTGGTCTCATCCTCGCGCCGGTGTTGCCATCACGTGCGATCACGTCTCTCTCCAGATTTCCTTTTTTTTATTTTCGCGTCTCACATTCCAAGGAATCCTGCTGGTCTCGTAGCCAATGAAAAAGATCCAATTATATTGGATTATTTGATTTAACTGCTTTCAAAGAGCAGGACACAGCAAGACTCTTCAAGTACAGTGAGACCCCCACATGTGGACGACACCTCAGCATATAGACAATTCAACATACATACACTTATTTTCATGTAAAAATACATGAAGAAGGCCAAGCATGTAAACTCTGACTTGACATGCAGACAGTGTGTGCTTGAATTGCAAATAAGTTTTGCAGGCCAATGATAAGAAGCATATATTTTCAACGCTAAGATTTATGTAAGGAAAGTTCTCAGGCGTCTCTGTAATTGTTTAACCATCCATTTAGCTTATTATAAAAAAAAAAAGACCTCCAGCATAGAGGGACTTCCTCCTTTAATTTTGACAAATTTTTTTTTACAGAGAGTGCTAACATGTCAATGTACTGTTATGATAGGTACAGTAATCAATGCTCCAAATGTCCTCATTGAGTTGAAGAATATTCATTGAATCAGTTTCAATTAGCATACAATTTTTTCATGGAATTCCAAAATGTTTCTTCTATAATACACCAATTAAAAATTAAATAATGTAAGTTTAAGGGAAAATGAGACTCAACTTAAGGACATTTTGACTTTGGGACACTCTTGAAGCAGCAATTACATATGAATCCTGGGTTCTCACTGTATTTTACAGTTGAATGAACTGGATAACAAGAACCTCACTATACCTCACATGTTTTTCATGTCCCTGTCTGAATTTCCTAGGAAACAATGCATTAAAAAACCACCCTAACTCATATGCTATCCTTATTCACATTTCCATGACTCAAAATTTCTGGATACCATTGGGCTATTATTTTATTGACACAGGAAAGAGATGAAATAAGTAAAAATGTAGCAATTCATTTTAAAAAGACGTAGAAGACTATTTAAGCGCAAATAAACCCTTATTGCCCCAAAGTTCGCCATTCTTTTAATTCATTAAAGAAGCAATTGAAGGCCCAGAATATCACTAATTGCAATTTCCTCTACCTCTCTGTCTTTTGATGGTTTTTAACCTGCAAAATTTTCCAGATGAGTGTTTTCAATGCAGAATTATAAAACGTAGGCAATTTACATGCTCACAATTTCTCAGGCGTTAATTAACGTCACATTTCCTCTGACTGTGAAAAACTATGCAAAATACTGTACTTATTTTGCCAAATACAGTACCTGCAGTATAGATAGCAGACCATGTGTTCCAGAGGGAGGCCTGCTAACATGCTGGAAAGCCCCTGAAGCTGGGGACAAATAGTTAATTTCTGAATTTATTATTTGTCCTACACACATCTAAAAATATACCATCGTTAGTGATGGAAATATATTTCCAGTGGCTTATTCGTCTCGTATAGCAAATGAAAACTTCGTTTGTGACATTGTTCTGATGTGCATCGCAATTCCCATAGTTTAAGCATACAGCTGCTGAGATGAAATGCAATATTTACCTTCCGTCTTTTCGCCAAAGCATGGGATAATTAAACACTTTCCTTTCAGAAAAAAAAAACCAAGGGTACTTTTGACGAGGTGCAACCCGTGAAACGGGGTCTTTTACCCTCCCCCCCTCCTCCTTGAGAGTATAACCCTCGTTGGCAACCGTATTGGACTAAAGGACAAGTCTCACGGGTCCTGCGTACGGGTTCTCGGTCGGCGCACAGGTGGGTACAGCAGTGGCGAATGACATAACATCACCTGGGTGGGACAGGAAGGGCTCTCGCGAGAACCCCACATTTTTTCATTTCCTTTTCAAACCTCTCTCTCGACTCTCTGGTCTCGTGTGTCTCCTTTTCCAGTGAGGGGTCTCCGAGCATACAACCCGACCCCTGAGCTGGAAGCGGAAGAATGCTGCCGGGACAGCGAAAAAACTGAGTGGGTTTTTCGAAGTGAATCGAACAAAAACGAAAAAAAAGTAAGCAGATAATTGGCAAGAAAAACGAAACCCGGGTTCGATTTGATTCGTACTGAACCGATTAAATCGACGTTGTGCGATATTGGCAACATGAAGTGTCCGGGGGTCGTCTTTTTGGCTGCGCTTGTCTTCAGTGTCGGGCTCTTGACTTCCTGTCCCTTGACTTTGTCGCAAGAAACTGGTGAGAATTTCAATGCGTTTTTTTTATTATATTTTTCTAAATATCTCTAATCACGTGTTCAGCTTAAAAAATTGAATAAATCCTTGTTTTGGCGATAAGAACCACGCATGAAAGATATCATAGAAAATTTTTTCCAGAATTCTATGCTTGAGAATATGCTCACAAAATTTTTTTTCGTGCATTATATGTGGAAGTACACTCTCCTAAAATCCATATCGTAAGAACGGTATCTGAATTTTTTTCAAATAGTGTTGCGAGTGTTCTTTTTTCTCAAGAAATCTTTACATTTTCGAAGGAAAATGGTCCTTTTCTATAGCAATCTCACATAATAACCTTGGAAATTTATTTTGTATTTTTTTTGACAGCAGTTGCTTCTCTGGGTTCGCTTGTGGTTTAATTCCTGAAAAAATTCCCCAAGTTCCCCTGTTTTTTTCTTTATTCATAACTTTCACAGGAAATCAGCCTTTTTAACCCGAAGAATTTCACATGGAAATCTCGCTGGAAAATTTATGTGAAGAGTGGACGAGTAAATAGGGTTTTGAATGGCCCATCAGTTGAATGGGCCTGCTTTCAAGGTTGATATGGTAAAGCTATTTCAAGGCAGGCGTTGAATCACTCAATATAGGTTCAGGTTTTTGATCAAACATTCAATTGGCCTTAATTAAAAGGGACTTCAGGAAAGGTGTTTATAGTGTTTAATATTGGAAATTAACTTACAGACAATCCATGTAAAAGCTATAAGTATTTTATTGTGATATTTTTGAAGTGACTGTATGTGATATCAATTTAATACAGTCTTCATAATCTTATCGATGCAAAGATACAAGAGGTGTGTTCGTGCATTCGACGAAAGTATAAGAATACAGTATTGTCTTTAAGAAAAAAAAGACACTTTCGTGTAAAACTGTCAGAATAAAATTTTCGGATATTCGTCAATCTTGATCCCCGAAGATAGGCGCGAAGATAATCAAGGCATACTAAATTGTGCGTAAAGAGAACGATTGCTTGAAAAAAAACTGAAACAATGTGAGTAAAAATGAAAGAATTTGTGTTTGTGTATCTACAGAAGGGAGAAAATATACGCTCGCTCAATTATTAGAATTCATCAGGAAACATGTTGATGATTCGTCGAAAAATAAACGCACACCTGTTCTATATTGGCGACATAATCTCTTCCTCATATTTATATTTCCTATGCCACAAGTCAAACGGAGTCTAAAATTAAAGTTCTCAAAATACGGTATGTTGGTTACCGCGTGACAAATCTCCAAGAAACACCGTTGATAGGAGTTTAAAACATGTTGAAAAAAAAGTTATATAAGCTTTCCCAGTTCTGCAAAAATATGATGTGCAGAATTACCACTGACTTCTCTCTCTTTTTTTTAGAAAGATTATGCTCAAAATAACTCAATTCAAAATAACTCTTTTGAACACGAAAATATATAAGAAAAATCCGGCGAAATTACTAGAACTAAATTCTTGCCCCATTTTACAAAAAAAAAATGTTACAACTTCTAGATCTACGTATTTCCAGCGAGCAGCCTTCCAATTTTCATCGTAAATGTCAAACCTGTCGAAAAATTTTAAATCAGAGACTCATCTTGGTGTATTTTGATGATTTAAAATTTATTTCTTTTATTATTTTGTGAAGTTGCACCTGTCCCAGATTTTCTTTTCGATTTTTGTTGTTGCCCACGAGAACAAATTAAGATGTTTCGAAAGATAGGCTGAAATATTAAACAGGAAATGATGTTTTGTTGAAAATTTCCTGCAAAATTTTCTTAGAGACCTGTTGTTTTTTTTTATTTTTCCCTGAAAATTTTCATATAAATATTGAAACATAACAGGCAACAACGAAGCTGCTCATCAAAGAAATTATTCAATTTAAAAGTTGATGGTCGGTAGATTAGATTATTTTTGCAAATTTCAAAAGAATTTCCCATCTGCGAAAATGTTCTTGCAATTTCGTCAAGTTATCTTTATATAAGTGCTTGTTCGCGTGTTTTCATTGACGATTGCTTTCAAGAACAGAGTTACCTTATTGCTTATTGACATAATTATATTTTTTAAATCATGCGTATTTTATGCTATTTATTTTCAGATTCTTCCGCTCCCCAAACAACATCAGAAGAAATCGCACCCGAATTGGTTGAACAGGCACCTGCTGGTATGTGTCACCCTGACGATATACCCAAATTCTTGGGTTTCAGGTTATGTTCATATAATGATAATCTCTTTGTGGCTCAGAATTAGAACCCTCTTTCATTAATTTTTTTTAAAAAGCTGAAGTGCGGCGTCTACTTTGAAACGACAGTCGCTCAGTGCTCCCTAGTAGTCTCCTTCATGAAGGATCACAGTCACTTCTTTGTGACAGCGTCCAAGTACGTCTACGAAGGCCTCTTAGTGTTGGACAACTCACACCGGAAGTGAGTGGCTCGTCAGAAGAAGTTCCTCCTGTGTCCACGGAAGAACCTCAAGCAGCTGAAGGTTATTTCCACTTCTCATTTTTAAAGAAATCGTCGTCAAAAACATTCACAAAAGATATTTCATGCAATTTTTGGCTGAATTGCAAGACATTAAAAAAATTTCGAGAGTTCAGAAGTTCCAAAATTAGTCAAAATCTTTAACGATATGTTGAAGTGCATGTTTTCAGGGCTTTAAAAATGGTCGAAAATGGCACAGAAGTTATGAAAATTACCCTGAAAAAAATTCCAAAGCACTCGCAAAATAAATAATCTGCAGGGAAGTGATGAACGGAGCAGCAATACATTTTTAATGATTCCCCATATTATTGAGATATTGGCTCAAGGTGTACATTTTCAACAAAATCTTTCAACTATTTCCACGAAACAGGTGAATCTCATGAAGCATCCGCTGTGGAGCCCACGACAGAAACAAGCAGCTCTGAAATCCCAGTTTCAGAGTCTGAAGTGAGTCTCTCAAAACACAAAATAAAAATAAATGATATAATCTCTTTGGGAATTTCTATAATTGCAGGACTTTTTATAATTGCAGGAAGAAAAATTGTCCCTGGTAGAAGGAGAACCCACACTTTCAGTGGAAAACGCGTCCGGTGAAACAGAACAACCGGAAGCTGTTCCGGAAACGGATCCAACAATTTCCGCAGAAATCATTCAGGAAACATCATTAGAATCTCCTGCATCTGCTGAAACCACACCTCCTCCGGAAGAACAACCGGTAATACATTTTTGAATTAATTCCTGAAAAAAAAAAAATTTGGAAAAAATACTGCTGAAGATGCAAGGGACGACTGAGATGCTTTCTCAATTCAATGAATTAAATAAAATCATTGTCGATATTATTAAAATTTTTGCGTCAGACACGATGATGAACCAAGAAACAAAAAGAAATCTCTGCTGTATTGAATTTTTGAATGACATTGAATTGCGACTTCCAGTGTCATCTTCCCAAATTACAGTATAAAAACAAAAATTTGCCATTATCTGTCAGAGAGTGACAAAGTCTAAAAAGATTCAGAAAATTAAAACTAAACAGTATATATATTTTTAAATTTCAGCTCGTAATTGAAGCAGAAGTTGGGTAACTTCAGTAGTAGCTGGGACCTGGTGTCTAACCTCTCGGGCGGATGCTTATGGGCTAAGGAAGGCCAAGTCTTGTCCTATAGGGGGCTCTAGCTTGGGACGACCTGCGGAAACGAAGGCGAGCACCAACTTCCGCTTTCCTGGCTGCTGGTCTTTTTCGGTAGTTTCTCGACTTTTCGCACATGCTTTTCCGTCACTTTGGAGACCTTTGACAGATGCTTATGCTTAGTTAGAGAAGGTCCCACAAGCCACCACTCGGAAAAATTTTTAGAAAAAGTTTTAGTTTTAAATTGATATTTTTTCTCAATGGTTTGAGTAAGAATGAAAAAAAAAAAATACGGCGCGTCAGACGATCAATTCAATGAGATAATTCTGTTTTGAGGTATGCATGAGGAATTCCGGCTTCAAACATCTTCAATAAGTCGAACTTCAAGGGACATAAAAAAAAATCGAGTTTTTGAGGTTTTGACTTGAGAAATAACTGGATTTCTGTTAGTGAAAAAAAAAGAATTGCGAGAAATTGTGATTGGCCATATTATTGGCTTAAAATGGCTTTTCAAAGGAGTTGACAGGAAGGGATTCTGAATTTGAAGGCAAGGGTTAATTTGTCCAATTAGTCCTTCACCTCTTTTTAAAAGGCATAAAAGTATATTTTATGCTTTTTTTTTTCTTCCGTGTGCCACTAAATTAATGGCCAAGGGGTCTCAAGAAACTTTGAGTTATAAAGCTCTGACGTGGAAAGCATTTGCGTTAGGCAGGTTTTTAATGCAGGGTTTCTGAAGAATTCAAGCAGGAATAACTTTAAACAAATTACAAGGATATTTATTCAAATTAAAATGGGGTTTCGAGGTTAAACTGTACTTGTATTGAATTCAGATCTGCCAGAGAGACAAAGGTTATATTATTTAAATAAAATGGATAGAAGTCTCAAATGTTGAACCTTTTTTATTCAGTCTAATAAAGAAGAAGTTTCAAAGTTGCACTTCGACCGAGTTTTGATCTGATAACGTATAGGTCGAAGTTTGTTATAGTTTCCTTAGTTCCCTTGATTGAAGGGCATCAGTACGCAAATATCAAATTTTTAGTTTCGGAGAACGTATGAATTCTTTTAGCTATTTACGTGCATTCAAGAATAAAATCCTTGGGACATTCCTTTTATTGCACTATATTCAGCTTTTTTCCATTGATGGAAACCCAGCAGCAGTGTCAAGATTTTTTATATCGCTTTAATTTAATTGAAGGGGAAATGTTTCCAAATTCTTTTTTTTATGGACTCCTCTTCATCAATCCATTTACTGCAAAATCGTTGAAAAAAGTCTGTAATTAAATTAGCGTACTATGAGCACAAAAGCAACTCCACTGTCTATATAAGTTTCTAAAAAGACGCAGCAGACATCAAAGTTTGTGGAAATGCCGCAAAAATGTAAGCATCATATCTTGTGATAAATTTTACAAGATTTGAAAGTTCAGCAAGTTGATCATTTAGAGCTTAAGATTCTGGGTTGCGTCATCCACAAAGTTCAGCGATTGAATGAATGTTCGGATTTTAATTTCGCTCCATTTACGCGCAAAATAATGTTTCGCAGTCAATTCTGAGACGATTTCCTTTTCTGCAGATGCGGAAATCAGCGCGAAACCTCTGATACTCCTCATGGGACCAACAGGGACTGGAAAAACGAGTGCCATCAAGTACCTCCTTGGCCTGGATTCCGCGTCTGCGATTCCTCGGATACCCATCGGTACTTATTTAATGTTCCATCCCTTTTTTTTTGCTCACCCAGTCTGTATTTTGGCGGTAGCAAGGGATAATTACGCATATATATCGTGTTTTTTATTTATTATATTTTTTGCACACACTATTTCACAGGTCCTGTGCCTGCTCAAAGTCAATTCACTATTTGGCGGCATGCGGAGAATCCGTCTGTGGAGATGGGACCGGAATTGGCAGCTGACGCCACTTTCACGACACTGCAAAAGTTCGGCTTGTCCGCCTTGGACAGGGTCACGGGGATCCGACTGAAGGCACCTCTACTCGACAAGGTTGACCTATAATGAACCCAGTTGCATTAACTGAGGGTCGTTTGACCTTGCTTCTCACTTGTTGTTTCTGAAGTCGTCTAAAACCGACAGCCAGAAAAAAAAAACAACAGCACTGAGGATGTATTTGGAATCATCAAGATTAGGGCACAGCATCTTAATATTTTTGAGATGAGGTCATTTTAAATTTATTTATGGGACAGAACCTCATGCGTTTACATGTTCCTTACACTTTGAATGACGGAAGGTTATTTTTTCCCACTGTCTAATTAGTGCCGGGATATTTCGTTTTTTTTTCTGGTGAATATCTGCTTGTTTGAACAAAGGTTTCCAAAACCTCAGCAAAATCAAACAGCAAAAGTACAAAATCTTCATGTCAGGATTCTCAGGAATAAAATACTTGTTCATTAAAATTTGTATTGTATGAGAAATGCTGAGGCGGAAAATGCGGTTTTATAATATGGAATACTCAAATATGTTTAAGATTTTTTGGTACAGGTGGTACCTTGCAATTCAACCTCCCAAAATTTGACTGGTAAATTTGCTGAGAGGTTGAATTGCAACTTGACCTAGGCCCCACAATTTGACCCACATCTGTAACAATTGTATTATAAAAATGTATTTAAAACCCTGAAAGGAAACTTGAATTTAGGACGTGTGCAGCTGCAGATATTTTTGTCCTTCCTGCACTCAAGCCCAGACCCCAGAGGCATCACCACCTGTTGGGGGCCAGGACAGAGTTAAAACCATCCTTGGGAGCAGCTGCTCCACCAAGGGGATTTCCAGGAAGTCCATTTAAAACAGAAACTCTGAAAAAATTGGAAGAAAGTTAAGTGGTTACCCACTGAGAATTTCAATTTGCAGTTGGACTTTCTGCCTAAAAATAGAAGCCCTCCCAGTGAAAATTGTCTAGGAGGAAGATTTAAACCTTCCTCCCCAGGCATCCCAGTTGTTCTCTGTGCATTTGTACAAGATTTATTTTGAAAATTTGGCAACTTCTGATGGGGCTTTCAAGTGCATTTCCACCCATTTGTGTGAGTGTTTTGCAGTTGTTCAAGAAGCTTTTAAGCTTCCTGGGAAGGGGGAAATTGAGATGTATGAATTTGGGTGTTTGAAAGAATAGAAGCAGAACAAGATCAGAACTCAAAAAGCAAGGCAGCAAGTCTGTGTGCTACAAGAATAAAACTTTGAACAAACTTGAACTCAAGACTGTGAAGATTTTTTTTACTTTGCATTGGAAAGCATTACAGTCCAACACTTGAACACTATAAAGGAAGATCTGGTAGAAAGTTGTGTGAGAAAGAAGCAGCAGGAGCAGAAGGAATTTTCCTACAGTTCATTTGCAAACTGGAAGCATCAGAAATATTTTACACACCTCAATTTGCAAAAATGTCAAGTATGATGTAGAAAACATTGCATTTGACATTGCTTTGCAATTTGACTGCTTTGTCATTTCAGGGCACTACCTGTACTCCAATTATCTACATGACAGCATTTGCCTACTTATGTATATTGTGCGTCTGAATACAATAGAATCTGGTTACAGAAAAACTCATTTTATCAAATTTATGCCCAAAACTAATTTAATTTCTGGCCTGTGTCCGAATGCCACAGCATTATTTTAATTTTGTTGCAAGCAAATTTTCTCTCATAACAAAGCTTTGTTTAGGTCACAAATTACTTGAATATTGCACAAATTTGAAAATGTGATACATTTTCTGCAGAAATTAGACTAATTCATGCTCACTGAGTCAAAATGTAGGATAAAAAACCGTTGAGCTTAATGCATGCACAAGTCAGTCAGGGCAAATAATATGGTTGCCTGATTTTAATTTTTCCGGAGCGGATTGTTTATGATTTAAACAGAACGTATCCTACTCTCTTTGAACTGATGATTTTTCTCATGAAAAGTCGGAATAGTTCGTGCAATTCTAGTTCGAAAATTCGAATCCCAAGATCCCTCCTCTCTATGCTAAGAAAAATAACTCTGCCAATTATTTTTGTTGTTGTTAAGGTGACAATTGTGGATGCCCCTGCAATTATTGAAAGCATTGGCCATTTGGGAGAACGAAGAACTGTTCCAGTCAACGATTTGTACCAATGGTTCATTGACAGAGCTGACCTCATCCTTCTCCTGTTTGACCCACACAAGCCAGACGTTGGAATGGAATTGGAGGCTCTGATGGACCAACTGAAAGGTCGGGAAGCTCAGGTGAACAAGAAATAATTATGCTTCCTAATTTTGAAATCATATTCACTTATTTGGGGAACAATCCACGTTCGATAATGGAACTAATTAAATGTTTTAAACTCTGCTGCTGAAAATAGTTTTGACCTTGAAAATATAGCGCTCTCTTCAGAAACTTTTGGACAGTGTTACAGTATTTTTTTAAACCACGAAAGAGCAACAAAACCATTCGAAAACGAAGTAAGGGAAGTATTTTTATAATAGAGAAAGCTTGTGTATTGAGTCGACTATATTGACTATATGATAAAAAAATAGTCTCTTATTTTTGATAGTAAATGTAGTACATACCATAATAATGTTTAATACATTTTTATGAAACACGTGTGATTGATATTTGGTTCAAGATGTAATTTATTAAAATGCAGATGAGCCAAAACTAGAAAATAACGGCCAGGAAATGTAGGTCAGTGATGCCACCTTATTTCCAACGATGAAGAGAAGTTTTTCTGCCCACTCTTTTCAGCGTGTCATAATTTTCAATTCGATAAAATAGCGTAATTTTTGTCAAATTCGCATATTCTTCTATTCAAGTTGGTTGGATTCAAGAAGAAGATGAGCTCTGTTTTTTTCTATAATTTCCCCCCCCCCCCCAAGAAATATGTCATAAATTTCAAGTTAATGAAATAGTTCAATTTTTTCCAGACTCGCATCGTGGTGAACAAGGCGGATTCTGTATCAGCCAGCGATTTGACAGTAGCTCAAGCGAACTTGCTGTGGAACCTTGCACCGATGCTTGGTGGTAACAGAGCACCAGCCTTGCTGTCGGTGTCGCTGAGGAACCAGGCCTACAAGTCCAACAGCTGCTCCAAGCTTCTCTCGCACCAAGAAGAATTACTCTATCAGGACATCATTGATGTTTTTAATAACCAAATTGGACACAAGATTGCCAGTGCGAGGAGACACGCTGTGAGGAATCTTCAGTTTTTTTTTAGTTAAATTTTTTTTACTGAAACTTTTTTTGCTATAGGCACATTTGAGATCCTTTCACGAGTGTAATATTTTTTGCTCAAAGAGTCATTCCCGCAAGTTGCATATATTGAGCAAATATTTTTGCCATTTCATCATAATTTAGCAGATGCAGTATACAAGCGAATTCCTGAAAATGTAATGCTTTCATTTTCGCACTAATCCATTCCTAGATATAATCCTTCAAAACCACATGGAATGATAATTATGGAATCATATTTATACTCAAATACCTCGCGCCCTTGAGTAAGATGTACACCCGGGGGTTTCAGTCTGAAATTTTAATAAAATTTTATCCTGGAAAATACGCAACCCAAAAAGTCACTGAGATTTTGACGTTATAAAGATTTTATTCTTACGGGTTTGAACTCAAATCTGTACTGAACTTGGTTTAAGTTTATTAAAAGTGCCAAAGATAGTTTTAATCGAAACGACAATTTTAACGCTCAATATTTATCATTGAAATAAGAATTATGCATAAGAAGACTTAAACAAAATTTTGGAAAACACATGCCTGCTTATGACTTTCACCAACTTTTTCCTGTCAATTTTCAAAAAAAAAGGCTCATCATGTGGAGCTCAATTCAACATCTGTAATACGATTTGAAGCAAAACTGCTTGTTCAAAAAGTATTTTCTTTGATTCCAGACCTGAATTGGACAAAGTCTTTGCTCATTAATTAGAATTTCTAAGAATACATTTTAGGTTCAAACAATTTGAAAAGCTTTCTTCAATGACATATTGAAACGTAATTCATTGTTGGTTTTTAAATTCTTTGAAATACTGTACAGTATTAGCCTCTCGTTAACCTGAAAAGCCATAAAATGTGCAAGGATGGCACATGTGGAAATGATCATTTCAGCAGGATGATGGGATATGCTTCCAATCCTTTCAAAATGTCAACCTGGGTCAGCAAAAATTAGAGCAATTGATAAAAAATTATCCAATCCTGTAAAACGTTATAGGCCAGTGAGCCATCATCTGCATCTGTATTGAGAGCTCTTCCACAGATTTCAATAAAATTTATTTAATTAGAAATATAATTTCACAACAATCAGCCTGGTAGGGGCCAGGAAGTTTTAGAAGGCTCCTAAATTAATTTTGTTTTAATTGTCCCAATTTCAAGAATGCAAGTCCATTCAATTTGTATTTTTCATACACTAATTCAATGAATAAAGTACAGTTGAGCCTTGATAAGTCAAACCTATGTAAGTCAAATGCTTTTCCTCTCAAACCTTTCTAACTTGAATTTTCTGAGGCCTTTTGGCCATTATTTTCTTTACACAGGAAAGAGAACATAAAAAAAAATCTGACTATTTTTTGAAAGGAAGTGAAAGACTAATTGGGCAGAGGATACCTTGCATCCAAGCTCAGCATCTTGTCAACTCATTTAAGAAGCAATTAAAGGCCCAGAATATCATCAATTACATTTTCTTTCATATTTCCCACAACAAAAACGCTTGATTCCCAATCTTAACCCTTGGATGGCGGAGGGTTCTTTCCCATCCCAGGCCAAAATTGGATTATTTTTGTATGCTGGGGCGTTTTAAGTTTTCTGAAGGTCAGAAAAGACTTTCCAGGTGGGCTGAGGCAAATTGGGGATTAATCCAAGAAAAGCCCATTGCTTAGCATAGCATTATTTTATTTTCCGGCAAAATTTTTCTGTGGAAAAAGAAAAAAAACATTGGGATTTTCTGGACTTTGTCCTCAAATCCCTGCTGTCCTTTTTTATTTTCTTCCCTGAGGTGCAACAAAATTTCACAAAAATAGTCCAACTTTGCCGTCCAAGGGTTAAAACCTCCCCATGTCTGCACCTCCTGAATGAACAATTTTCAAAATTCAACAACCCTGCATAAAAATAAACTTAAATAGGTTTCCGGCATGGGCTTAGTATTTTTTTTTTGCTGCTGCGCAAGTGAAAACAGTTGTCACAGGAAAACTTGTTCCTTCTCAGATCCGCGTAAGAAATCACTCCAAGTTGGTGAACCTGTACCTGAAAGCATATGCGAAGAACAAGGGCCTTTTCAGCAACAAAAAGAAGGTCGCTTTGCAAATACTCGACGACCCTTTCAAGTACAGAATCTACCAAACTTGAATTTTCTGAGGCCTTTTGGCCATTATTTTCTTTACACAGGAAAGAGAACATAAAAAAAAATCTGACTATTTTTTGAAAGGAAGTGAAAGACTAATTGGGCAGAGGATACCTTGCATCCAATCTCAGCATCTTGTCAACTCATTTAAGAAGCAATTAAAGGCCCAGAATATTATCAATTACATTTTCTTTCATATTTCCCACAACAAAAACGCTTGATTCCCAATCTTAACCCTTGGACAGCAGAGGGTTCTTTCCCATCCCAGGCAAAAATTGGATTATTTTCGTATGCAGGGGCATTTTAAGTTTTCTGGTCAGAAGTCCAGGTGGGCTGAGGCAAATTGGGGATTAATCCAAGAAAGGCCCATTGCTTAGCATAGCATTTTTTATTTTCAGGCAAAATTTGTCTGTGGAAAAAGAAAAGAACATTGGGATTTTTCCGGACTTTGTCCTCAAATCCCTGTTGTCATTTTTTATTTTCTTCCCTGCTGAGGTGCAACAAAATTTCACAAAAATAGTCCAAATTTGCCTTCCAAGGGTTAAAACCTCCCCACGTCTGCACCTCCTGAATGAAAAATTTTCAAAATTGAACAACCCTGCATAAAAATAAACTTGAATAGGTTTCCGGCATGTGCTTAGTATTTTTTTTTGCTGCTGCGCAAGTGAAAACAGTTGTCACAGGAAAACTTGTTCCTTCTCAGATCCGTGTAAGAAATCACTCCAAGTTGGTGAACCTGTACCTGAAAGCATATGCGAAGAACAAGGGCCTTTTCAGCAACAAAAAGAAGGTCGCTTTGCAAATACTCGACGACCCTTTCAAGTACAGAATCTACCAGGAAGTGGCTTTCAACAAAAACGTGTCTCGCTACGATCTGCCAGATCCGGAAATCTACCGGGAATTCTTCATGCAGCACACACTCTTTGATTTCAAAAAGTTCGAAGATCTCTGCACTTATTTCAAGGGCTGTCCGCAGGACAAGTTAGACCTCGCAATCGCGTACGAATTTCCGGAAATTGTTGCCAAATTCAAGTCAGAGTCGTCGACGGCATCAGTAGAACCAGCAGCAACTCAAGACAGCGACGTTAAAGGCCAAGAAATGCCAGTCGCTGCTGCTTGATGATTTGCAAATTTTTATTTGATTATTCGGCATATATGTTGAAAGAAGAAAAAAAACGACACAACAACAAAGAGATGCCGACATCTTCCTGTCCACATCCCTGTAATCTCTTTTTGTTTTGCTCATTTGAAAAAAAGAAATGATACGTGAGGCAGACAAATCCATCCGATCGTCTTCCACTACTGTTCAGAGTGCCTTTTTGTTTCGCTTGTTTTTTCGCGGAATTTTCGTGAAAATATGTTTTCTTCCTTATTAGGAAACGAACCGAAACGTGGGAGAAAAAGGAGAAATAAATCGAGATTTTATCGCGGTTGTTATCTTTGAGTGTAGGAAATTAGATTTACAGTGAGAAGAATTTTGAGGAGGTGTGTTCTGCCAACTCACTGCCACCTTTTACCCTCGCCGTGACGATGTGATGCAGCGTTGAAAGAATGAGAGAGAGAGACAAGAAATTGAGATGTTTGAAGAGTCATTGTAACACCAAGGCTGTTTTCAGCATGCGTGACGTTGGAATAAAACCATTTCAATGAACACCATCAGTCTCCAATTTGAATGAATTATTCCGGTTCTTGGATATTTCGACTGACATTTTTTTATCAATTGACATCTTCATTATGTATACCGCCTTTCCAAGAAAATGACATATTTTTGAAATAAAACCGGATGCAATTTCTCAAAAACTCAACGCAAGCTCTAACTTCAAGTAGAAAGTCCAAGAAGAGCCACTGACGTGAGGAATTTTTTCCGAGTATGTACATTTCTCGTCTAGGACATTTTCCTTAGATAAAATTTGTGCAAATGTACTATATTTTGAATACTTTCACAGAATATGCCTGAATTAAAATTTTTCTGGAGATACTGTATTTGTAAAATTTTATGCACAGGAATTGCAAAAATTAAATTGAAATAGCTCAAAAATTTAGCATCTCAGCGCCTTGCGTTCAAGTAGTTTTTTTTTCAATTAAGAAACCAGACAAAAAATAAGACATGCACCTAATCTGAAGCGACTCAAAAACTGCAATATTCCAAAAATAAGAAAACCAAAGTTTGATTTTAATTTTGAGTTTGAACCTCAATTCAACCCATGTCATTCAAGTTTATCTGCTAACATTGGTCCAAATTTCTCATTAGAATATCAGCTGTATAATGCACAAACACTTCTAAAACAAACAAAAAATAATAATCACCCGTGAAGCCCCCACCCTTTTTCATCATTTTGAAAAAGAATGTGCATATATGTGGAACCTCAATAAATTACAGAAGTTATCTGAAAACATATTGTAATAAAAATCCCATCTACAGAAAAGCCTGATTTTTTTTTNCAGCTGTATAATGCACAAACACTTCTAAAACAAACAAAAAATAATAATCACCCGTGAAGCCCCCACCCTTTTTCATCATTTTGAAAAAGAATGTGCATATATGTGGAACCTCAATAAATTACAGAAGTTATCTGAAAACATATTGTAATAAAAATCCCATCTACAGAAAAGCCTGATTTTTTTTTTAAGGAAAGCGAGAAATGAATACCTGCAAGATTGGGGCCACAAAAACCTCTCTGATGAATTTTCTCGTATTTTTTGTTGCTGCTGCGCAAGTGAAAACAGTTGTCACAGGAAAACTTGTTCCTTCTCAGATCCGTGTGGATCTCAGATCTCAGATCCACAAGGAAAAGGATTCGATAATGAACTTTTGACACCCCCGTTATGGTATAAATGTTTATTGCACCCCGTAACCTTCTCTGCATGAGTCACTCTAGCCTGATCATAAGCTTCTTTTCCCCCATAAAATGAAGACATGTTCTGTGCACTTGAAGGCACATTAAGTTGACCGAAGCAGGCGACCTGGAAGCAATGAGGGGAATCTGATATTAGGCCTGTGACCGCGAAAGGGCATCGATTCCCGGGATGTTGTGGAACCCGGTTGCCATCGACAACAGGGACCCAATTTCCAAGTAAAGGCCCGTATACTTTTCCTCGGAACCCGCTTTTGAATCAGCAGGCTTCGCAGGTGTGCTGGTGCTGGTGTCGTGTATTATTTCTGCTCCTCACTTCTGTATGTACTCTTAGTTACACTTGAGTCGTGTCTAGCATCAAAGACACACACTGAACAGTACTGTTCTAAAAAAAAATATTTAAGCGACGAGAAGAAAAACTTTAGGCCTCGTTGTAATCACCAGCAGCATGAGAGAAATTGTTCATGTACAGTGTGGGCAATGTGGCAACCAAATTGGATCCAAGGTAAGCCTTTTATGTGTTTGGTCTGACAACGCAAGAAATATTACTGTAATCTCACTGTTCAATTTTAACAGCAAAGCTAATTTTGATAGAAACCGTGAAAATTATTTGAATTTGGTTCAAGTCATGTCTAAACTCAAGTTTGGGCATTCTTATTTTAGAAATATTGCAGTTTTATAGTCACTGAAAATTTTCTGTAGATGGGATTTTTATTACAATATGTTTTCAGATAACTTCTGTAATTTATTGAGGTTCCACATATATGCACATTCTTTTTCAAAATGATGAAAAAGGGTGGGGGCTTCACGGGTGATTATCAAGATTTCCACATCCAAACCCCCATTCTACCCAACCTAAATCCACTCAAAGACATTTAATCACTTCAGAGCAGCTTCTTTACTTATGCCCAGTATTCCACACCAGCACAAGAATTGCACAACAAGTGGTACCTAGCAATACAACCCTAATCTGTTGCTGGGATAGGGTCAAATTGCAAATGGAATTTGACTTTTCATGTCTCTCTGCGGGTTGAATTGCATGGCAGAGGTCAAATTAAGAGTTGACCTCCCAGCAAATTTGACTGATGAATTGAAGGATACATGGTCAAATTGTGGGAGGTCCAATTGCAAGATACCACCTGTATAAAATGACTCAGAATCCTCACAACTTTATGTAGGTACACCTTGATGTGTCAAACCTCCCTAAGTCAAATTCTTCCCTAAGTCAAATTTTTTCCAATCACTGGTCTGAATTCCCTTAGAATCAATGCATTAAAAACCTCCCTAACTCTAGTCTTTTTCTCTAAAATCTCTGTATGTCAAATTTCCTGAGGCTTCTGGTTATTATTTCATAACTATGAAAGAGAAAATTATTAAAACAAATAATTTGATGCATCTTGAAAGGAAGTGAAAGACAAATATAGCAAATGAACCCCTACCTCCAAGTTAAGCACGGTGTTAACTCATGGCACAGAATATCCTCATTTATGATTTCCCACACTTTTTTCACTTCTCCTCACAACAAAAGTGCTTGTTTCCTCAACTGGAAACCTCTAAAAAATAAAAAAAAATTTTCCTGGTCCCTAGAAAGTTGACTTCCAGAGGTTCAACTGTAAAAAGTTACTTTCCCAAATCTTACAGCAAGGCTTTTCAACTGCTGGTGGTACATAATGTACTAGCTGATGGTATTCAAGTGCTTGCCAGGTGGTATGCAGACACATTTTAAAACAGTTATGATTATTCTACTGTAACTCAATCAAATATTGACAAAAACTTACCAAAAAAGTACGGCCAAGCGCAGAACTGCGTTGCGCTTCCAATGACACTATCAATGTAAAGATCTATTGAATATTCAAAGTTTCGCGCATTTTTGAACTGAACCACAAAATGTTTGGCCCCAAGGTCAGATGGATGCAGTCAGATTCCAAAAAAGTGGAAATTTTGAAGGATTTGTAACTCAAAAAGTTGAAACTTAAATTAACACATGCATGACATTTACAGTATTATGATTACGCATTATATGTCATGATTTATTTATCACCCATAAGCAGTTTTCAAGGGAATATCGCACAGATTTTTCTATATGGAAAAAGGTACAGGCATTCTTGAAATTAAGCAAACAAAGTTCATCTTCTCATACTCAATTCTAAGAGTTTTCATTTTCAGGAAGTTCCATGGAGATTCATAGGAAAATATTATGTTCAAAATGGGGATCATGGCTTGACAACGTTATCTTTTGATCAAATCGAAATGAAATGAAAAAAATGGTCTAAAAATTGGCAATCTACGACTAATTTCGAATCAAATGAATAATAGCCCATTTTCCATGAAATTATCCAGCGAAATTTACGCCATGAAAATTCGAAAATTTGATTGCCTGATGAAGCCCAAAATATTTCTAATCTTTAACAAAAATCTAGTTTTGGGAGATCATTTCGGATGAGCATGGCATCTCTCCTATTGGAGAGTACCAGGGGGATTCCGACCTCCAGCTGGAACGAATAAATGTGTACTACAACGAGGCACAAGGTGGACGATATGTTCCCAGAGTCATGCTGGTAGATCTGGAGCCTGGCACCTTGGACTCCGTCCGATCCGGTCCGTACGGACAAATTTTCCGCCCGGACAATTTTGTGTTTGGACAAAGCGGCGCCGGGAACAACTGGGCCAAGGGCCACTACACAGAGGGCGCTGAAGTCGTTGACACTGTTCTGGAGGTACGCATGATGACGAGCAAACAGATCTCAGTATAGAATTATTTTTAAGATGTCAGAAATTTACTGGGATGTCGAATGATCCCCTATTTTGCATAAAAAATTATAAATATGATAGACGAGAGGAGATTGAATTTTTCTAGTCAACCTTGTGGTGCTCTTAAAGCAATTAGCTGGTGCTGATTACCCTGTTTTAGATTGGCATGGGTGCATTTTTAAGCATACACATTTATTTAACGTATGATTTAATTTAAACTTGAACATGCACTATGAAGCAAGAACATTCAATTAAGTTTCTCTGAATAAAAGGGATATTTCACAGGGAAACGAGTAAAATTCAATTCATAATAATCCTATGAACTTGAGAAGGAATTCAGGGAACATTCTTGAGATGAAAAACTGTATGATCGTGATGGTGCCATAAAGTCTTTTAGTTCTTGAATATTATAGAGGCAAAGCGACGTTCCTTTTATTCCCCAAAGGGAAATATTGCATTCCCAACATTGCTCCCGAAAATATAATTTAATTTTTGAAAAGGGCAATGTTATGGGACAAACATTTTACGGCTGCGAATTCTATGTGTGGCAGTTTGAACAATTCAATTAATTTTTCTGAAATCACAAAACCACGCGTAAAAAGGAATATTCTACAAACTGTAGATATAAAGATTCCATCAAAATTACAATTGACTGGAAAATTGTCTGTATAATGAATTTATTTTTATTATTAGCCGATGCAGAAAATAATGTTTATGGTATGTGTGCTGCTGTGCTCATATGTATTAAATACAGGTTCTAAGGAAAGAAGCCGAGGATTGTGATTTACTGCAAGGGTTTCAACTGACGCATTCTCTTGGAGGAGGAACTGGAAGTGGAATGGGGACACTTTTGATATCAAAAATGCGTGAGGATTATCCTGACAGGTAAGAATATTTATACAGTAATATAAATATAAATTTAAGCAGTCGTCTGCCTACTGTGAGTTTTGTAATGTACTTTTACTACTCATCTTATTCACAAGGCTAGGGGAAAGAAGATCAAATGTGAAAGGGAATATATTTTCTGTAAATTTCCCGTTTTTGATTCCAGCAAAGGCTAATTTTCTAAAATGAACGAGTAAATCCAACTAAAACGTTTATGCATTAATTTGCTTTATACATTTATGTTTTTTTTTTTTAATTCCAGGAAGAAAAACATGAATTTCACAGGCTTTTATGAATGAGAGCATTTTTATTGTTCTAACAGAGTTCAGGAAAACATAAGATATTGTTAAAAATACAGAAATACAGGTGGACTCTCTACAACGAATTTTTATGCTCCCTCACATTTCATGTAGGAGTTATTTACAGCGAAAATTCTTTCTTCAGTACAACGATTTTTTTCCTGGTCTCTTGAATTTCGTTGTAGCAACTCCTATAATGTAGAAAAGGAACCCCACGAAACAAAAATATCATTAAACAGAGAAAATCATTGTAGACAAGATTGTTGTTGAGAGACGTCTACCTGTATAACCGTCCAAGAAAAATATTGTGATGCAATTAATGTCTTGCTGTTTTTCTATTTCTTTCAAGATACATTGCATACTTTTCTTGGAGGTTTTCCAATCGCAACATAAAAAAGGTAAAGTCTTAATACTCGTGTAAAAGTCACCACGGGTCGGGCTTCCATAGGCTATGTCACCACCTTGGGATGTTACGGTGGAACAGTTACGTGGTCGAGTAGCTCTTGTGCCTGCAAACATATTGCATCGACAACGAGGCTTTGTACGACATCTGTTTCAGAAACTTGAAACTGTCCACTCCGACATACGGTGACCTGAATCACTTGGTGTCGTTGTGCATGTCTGGGGTCACAACCTGCCTCCGGTTTCCTGGGCAACTGAACGCCGACCTTCGGAAACTCGCCACAAACATGGTTAGATCGAATCAATGCGGAAGAGTTGAAGATCAAGATATATTTTATTTTAATATCTCGTTTAAAAAAAATGAATGATATAGGTGCCCTTCCCAAGATTGCACTTCTTCATGCCAGGATTCGCGCCTTTAACTGCTCGTGGGGATCAACAGTATCGAGCCCTGAGTGTGCCTGAACTCACAGCACAGATGTTCGACGCCAGGAACATGATCCGTCGCACACTGGGCTGAGTACCTTTCATAGACTGACAACGACGGTAGAAAGCCCCGGCTTACAGATACTTTCTCCATGACATACATACCAGACGTAAAGTAGACCCTTTATACCCAGGTGAAATAGATGTCATCAAGAGTTCATCCTGTGTTTGAAAATCGAAAAAAAATGCAGTACGGGCGAGCTTTTTTCTTCGTCAACCCCACGTGCTTTTTTGTGCAAGAGGATTTCTGGACTTATATTGATCTATTACAAGGGTTCTAACAAACAACAAAAGTTGTCAGGATAGAAATTGAGATGGTACATGAATGAGCTGATAACAAGTTATTGTTCAGAAGGACAGTCTTTGGCAGAATTTGAAAAGTCAGCCCTGTTTGACATATTTCTTGTACTTTTTTTTGCTGAAAAAGTCCCCCTGGCAGCTTTCAGCAGGTCTTTAACCCTTGTGAGGCAAAGATGGAAAATTTTCGCAAAATGTTGTGCCACTGAGCGCTGTAAATTTAATAAATCCTACGTTTGTATAGGTGGTACCTTGCAATCGGACCCTAATCCATTGCTGGACTAGGATTGAATTGCAAATTGGTCAAATTGCAAGACATTCCATGAAATTTAAAAATATGAGTTAACAAATGCAAAAAAGTGGCCAAAGCAGGTCAAATTGTGAGGCAAGGGTTGAATTGAAAGTCAATCTACCTGCAAATTCAACCGTCAAATTGCAGGATGGGCAAATTATGGGAGGTTGAATTGTGAGGTACCACCTGTACCACAGCCTGAGTTGGGAAAAAGTCCAAATAAAAAAGATTAGGACCGTATGTTAAAACTTTTATTTAAAAATTTTTAGGAAGTGACCCACCGTAAAAAGGCACGTAACGACCGTGTCCCAAACGTTCCCTATAAGGACTTTCGTTAGCCTTTAAACTTCCACCCTGTGAAGCGACATAATTAAGTGCCCATTGCTTTTTTTTTTTAATTCTCCCCTATTTAAACAAAAGGGAAAAACGATGGATTTCAAATTTAAAAAAAACATAACGGAATATATCAGGATGATTTCCTCTGTCACGATGGACACGTCATTGAAAATTTTCCGCTTCAACTCATCACGGAAATATTTATTTTCAGGTGGATGAGCAGATCTTGGCGATCCAAACAAAGAACAACTCTCAGTTCGTGGAATGGATCCCCAGCAACGTGAAGACAGCAGTTTGCGACATTCCTCCTCGTGGCCTCAAAATGGCGTCCACATTCATAGGAAACACCACAGCCATTCAGGACCTTTTCAAGCGGATCTCAGCTCAGTTCACTGCCATGTTTCGCCGAAAGGCCTTTTTGCACTGGTACACCGGCGAAGGAATGGACGAGATGGAGTTCACTGAAGCAGAGTCGGACATGGCGGACCTGGTGGCAGAGTACCAGCAGTACCAGGACGCCACTGTGGACGACGAGGTGCTCGAAGAGGAGTACGCTGGAGATGATGACGAGGAACCACCGGCTGAAGCCGAGCCTGAAGACGATGAATAGGTTTTTTCTTCTTCAAATGCTCGGAAAAGGCATCAGTTTTCCTTGCATTGTATTCATATGCAGCGTATATTCTCTGGAGAAGAATAGTCAAAGCCGGATCTAAGTTAGAAAAAAATGCTTAACGTTTTTTTCTGATTTTGCATAGAAAATAATTTCGATCGCAGGGTGTCCAAAAAGTTACTGTACAGTGAGAAAGTTGAATTATTCCTGGATATCCGATCTCGGGTGGAAAGGACAGTGACTTGCATCAGCAAAAAATATTCATACTGATTTTGACATAAATCCTCAATCCTCTCAATTTAATTTCAGAAAAACAATTTAAAGTTGCTTCAGACTTGCAAAGAAATGCTTTCATGGAAAGGACAGTGACTTGCATCAGCAAAAAATATTCATACTGATTTTGACATAAATCCTCAATCCTCTCAATTTAATTTCAGAAAAACAATTTAAAGTTGCTTCAGACTTGCAAAGAAATGCTTTCAATAACAGGGTGTCCAAAAATTTACTGTACAGCAAAAAACTCCAATTCTTTGTTGCTATTTGATCTCCAGCAGAGGGTATATATAAGGAATATATTTGTGCATATGTAAAAAATGGGCATCCTTCTGATTTTTACATAAATCCTTATGAGTTCCTGACGTACCCACTCTTCCAGGATTTTCGAAATATGAACATTAACCTGAAGCAGGACGAATCTGTAAAATATTAAATGTTCACTAGAGCTGCGACATCTACTCTCGCTAAAAACAAATGGGTATTTCCCCAGACAAACTAGAGAAAGTCACTGATTGGGTAGCAGATTTTTCAGGTGATGAGTGTATGTACAGGACTTTTTTGGACGCTCTGCTTAATCTCAATCAATTTTCATTCCATATATACTGAACTGAATATCAATGGAATATTGAAAGAATTGAAAAATGCCATCAACTTCCAAATGGACTCACAAACACGTACGCAATTTGACATGCAGCATCATCAATTCACTCCACAAAAAAAAAACAAATGTATTCAAATAGAAAAGAAGGGAATTCTTTGTTCGTCCACATGAACCAACAAGTATACATATTTCGCGTGCCGGGAAATCGGATATTTTTTCCGGACAAGCATCACGTTGTTTCAATCAAAAAGAATGCAATAAGTGCTAGTGAAAAAACAAATTGGAAAAACAAAGTATTCGTCACAAGCAATGGTGTTTTTCGGGGCAATGGGTGTTGTGATGGGTTCGACGGCGAAAACGGAGCTTAAAACACTGCATGAAAATGTGGGCTGTGCATCACGTTATGATGCT